TACTGGTTTGGGCCCCGAGCTAAGCAAAGCATTGCCGCCAGCGAAGAGCTGCTGGAGTTGATGAGGCAGTACCGGCACACGGACGAGGTGTCACGCCAGCGTGGCAACTCAGCTGAGCGCGACATGTGGAAGGCGAGTAAGTCTCCTAAAGCTCACCGCCACCCTCGGCGGCAGCTCACCGAGCCGGGCGGGGGTGACGCGGTGTACGCCAATTCTGTCAACTGGGCGTCCTACAAGAGCTTTAAGGAGCGACAGGGCGACGACTTCACTAACCCTGGCCGCACGCTCCTTCTCTCGACGCGGTGCAAGTGCCTGGTTCTCCCTGCCATGGAGCAGTGCGCGTGCAAGATACACTCGCAGCAGATGCTATACATCGAGGCCCTGGCCAATGTCGACATGACCAGCCACGGGGAATGCCGGTGTCGATGGTGCAACGCAGATGGCGGCAGCAGGTGGCGGGAAACGTGGAAGCACTTGGGCACATTCTCCGATGCGATTACCTTCCCCAAGGTCGACTTGCGGGCAGCGGACCCGGAGGGTGACGGTTGGATGGGGCGGAAACCGGAGTGCAACGCTTTGGACTGCGGGAAGTGTGGGTTCGGGGGGGCTGACGGCATTCCCATCTGCAGCAAGCTAGAGAACTCCGAGCAGACGGTCGTGTGGAACATGTTCGAGGACGTGATCACTGCGCCTGCATCAGCAGATGGGAAGATCAAGGCCAAGAAACTCGTCAACCAGACCGTGCCGAAGGATGATAAGTTCCGCGATCTTTGATGGGCTTTCAAAGAGCACACCAAGCTGTACATGGCTCACCACTCTATCGCCAAGTGGCAAAGGCACTGCCACGGGCGTTGCTTGGAGACGTTTCACCACGGTGACCTTGTCATCGAGACTGACTTTGCCGAGAAGTACACCCAACAATCCTTCATCAGCATGATGATGCCGGTTTACCCGCAGACAACGCTCATGGTGGCCATCGTACACTTCAACCCGCAGATGCACGTGGGGGGTGGCAGGGCGCACGTGACGGAAACATGGATCTTTGCATCTGAAGACATGGCGCATGACTGCGATTTTCACCTGCACGGCTTGGCCAGGATGAAGGACTACTACCTGCGTGGAGATGGGAGCGAAGCAACAGCTGCCGCCCGGAACGAAGGCCGGACGCCCCGGATTCACATGTTCACGGATGGATGCGGGAAGCAGCACAAGAGAAGGCGGAATTTCCGCTCCTTGGCCAACAGCGTGCGGCAAATCGACTTCTTCATCGACCACCACTTCGCGGCCACATCTCACTTCAAGGGTTGCCATGGTGGGATTGGCGGAGTGGCAAAGAACGCCATGAAGAGGAGGGAGAGATTTGGCAAGCGAATCATGGGGGCGGACGGGGTGGTCAGCGTTTTGCGAAGCTCCTTTCGGGAGAAGGCAGGCAGCGAGGGGGAGGAGGGTATGCGGAAGTATTTCGCGAAGTAGTCTCCGTACCGCATGCGGAGAGTGCACGTCGAGTTTATGGGCAAGAAGGAGATATATCGGCCAATTTCGGTCCTGGCAGGCATAGAGGGTACACGAGACATGTACCACTTCGCGGGAGCAAACACTCCCAAGTGGGATGGGTCCACCACGACCGAGGGGCGCGAAGATGACTGCAACCTGGTACGAAAGAGCGAGGGGCGGGGTAGCTTGTCGAGTCAAGAGAAGAGCAGGTTGCGGGAAGTCAAGGTGTTGGGTGCAGTAGGGAGCAGATGAAAGGGTAAGGGGGCTGAGTTGCAGGATCTGGTGTCGGGGGAGGAAGACGTGCCTTGCAGAAAGGTGAAACGGACGTACAGGCTCAGGCCTCGGCTGGCGTCGTGCTTCTGCTCGGCGTGCCAGCATTGCGAGTATGAGCAGTGCTACGTCAGCAAGACGTACCCACGTCTCGTTCCCGCATTGCAAGAGGGCGAAGTGAAGGAAACGGCGATCATGGACACCGGAGTAGCGCCCGTAGACGAAGATAACTGCCGGGGGATCCAGTTCGGGAGTAGGAGAAAGGAATGCAAGATGGAGATAATTACTGGGACACAAGGGCAAGAATGCGAATCTGCTGCTGCGTCAAAGATTTGGGAAGAGCTTGGTAGGAAGGAAGAGCCCAATATTTTCGCCCGTTTCGGGCGGTGGTCTGGTTTTTACGTGATGTGCTTCTTGTATTTGCTTGTGGAGCATTAGGTGGGGTTCAAAGCCCGTTTGAGGTACAACTTGGGGGGGTGGGGGGCGGGGGGTACCCGAGAAGATGTGAACAGAACTTGAGTTGATTTTCTTCAGAGCGAGATGATGCTGCCAAATATGTGCCTGTAGCTCAAGACCAAGATGAAATTGAAAAAAAAAGACCACGGATTCGTAATCCCCACCCCAAAACTAACCTGACCTGAAATTTTCAGATCGATCTGACCACTTTTGAAGAGCGGGGATTTCTCGGGACCATCCCCGGGGTTTTGCATTTTTCGAATTTCCTTGGGTAAAAAACGGAATCTGAGTTGAAACCCGGCCAAAAACAGTGCAAAAAAAACATAAATGAATCCACTATAAATATTCACGGGGTAGTATGTCATCAAAATTTCAGACCTTAGCCGGGGACCTTTCATCACCATCCCTTCCCCAAAAAAAATCATGACCGTCAGTTGCGGATGGCGCCTGTAATATCACTGCTGATACTGAGAGAATGGTACGGACATTTATTTACATCATATCTGTAGTCTATGTCTGTAATTTCTTAAAGAATTCACCACAGAATGGTGCGGGGAGTGAAATACGACAGCAGTGGTGGGGCGTACCGACAAAAAAAAACACTCAGTTGTTGCGGACCAACCACAATGTATGCATATTATTCCATCTCCCTAAAACGTAAATGTACCCACAGGGGCGCGTATAAGCCATGTACCCACACCTCATTACCGACGAAAATCCTGTGTGAGGAACGACCGTCACGATTTGCGTTTCTTCCACCTACCGCCCTACTACAGGCAGGCGCAGTGTTCTGTCCCTCCACCCAGCAACTACATGAAACCGGCTTAAACCCTTAACGCTAACCCTAACGCTAACCCCAAACACACCTAAAAGGTGCTAGGCTTGCGCGATGTGGGTCAGTTCTAGGTCGTTGTGCCGGCATTGGCGCTGGGTTGGGACTGGGTGGCTCAGTTCTAGGCCGGCGTGCCGGCATTATCGCTAGGATGGTATTGATGCGATACTCTTAGGTTGGTATCGCTTGGATAGGTGCTAGGTTCGTGTTGACGTATGTAGGTGCTAGGTTTTGTAGGCCGAGGTATCCCTCGGTTGGGTGGTTCCGTCGGGAAAAAACGGTGTGGGTGGCTTAGTCTAAGTGCGTTCCGATGGGTGCATCGAATATCTTTCGTTCGTGTACCAGGTGGTTGCTGAAACATGTTACGGTCAGATACACCCGCCTACCATCGAATACCCCCACCGGAACTCACCGGAACTGGAGGCTGCCCTGTAATCCAACAAGACATTCATCCATACTTCAACCATATTATTACTTAACGCAAACCCTAACGCTAAAAGCTCTTGTAGGACGCCCAGTTGAGAGAATTGGCGTACACCGCGTCGCCCCCGCCCGGCTCGGTGAGCTGCCGCCGAGGGTGGCGGTGAGCTTGTGCTAGGTTTTGTAGGCCGAGGTATCCCTCGGTTGGGTGGTTCCGTCGGGAAAAAACGGTGTGGGTGGCTTAGTCTAAGTGCGTTCCGATGGGTGCATCGAATATCTTTCGTTCATGTAACAGGTGGCTGCTGAAACATGTTAGGGTCAGATACACCCGCCTACCATCGAATACCCCAACCGAATACCCCCACCGGAACTCACCGGAACTGGAGGCTGCCCTGTAATCCAACAAGACATTCATCCATGCTTCAACCATATTACATTGGTTTTCCACGTATATGCATCCCACAATTGTCATGGAAAGTTGGACGACCGTGGTGAATGGGTGTTTTGTGTGATTCCAAGTAGAGATGAAGAGACAAAAAATATGTGACCATCGTTCGAGTCTTGCGTCATTTCGCAACATTTTTTGCAGTCGGATCGTCCTTTTTTCTTGCTTCGAGCCCTTGGTATTATGCTGTGCACAGTCTTCGCATCACTCTTGTTGTCAGCCCTACGCTGAAGGCAAGTGCGCCTGTGGCGCCCGAGCCTGGATACCTTGAATCACATTCATTCGACAACTAACTTCAATGACGTAGGCTGTTTCTCCGCGACTCTTTGAGCCAACAACCTTCGCTGTTTCGCCAATAAGCCATCGACCACAACGCTAAATCTTGATCAGTGCGCCTAGTGGTGGTGGTCATGGCGGGCGCCAACCCCGTCGCTGCAGCCTTTGACGCAAAACTATCACGATAACATAACATTGTATCGAACGTTCATGGGCTGAGACTCACCCAAGCGAAACCCCAGGACAGGTTAATCCGTTCTCACAATTCAAAGGGAAGGACAGTGGAGAAACATTCGGCGGTCCACAAGGGGCATATTCGGCGTGATTGTACTCCCCGCTCTATCTGCTACATTGCGCACTGCTCTTCGAATGCAGGACCTCCTCCCTGCTCTACGGCGCGCTCCCCTCAAAGCAAAGCCCACGATCCTACCACCGTACCCGCATCTCCACTGTGCTTGTCCAACGGCATTCATGCGCTTTATGTGTAGCTCGAAATGCACAAGGTAGTCGCCAAAGGTGGCGGGTACGCTCCTGAAACGGCCGAGTGGTCAGCTCACCAAAACAGCCCATAGACTGCAGCACGAGTATAGACTACAATACCAGTAGAAGTACATGATAGACTACAATTACATGATATGATACGATAGTTCTGAGAATCTCCGCGACAGAAACTCCTTATCGGGCTCGGGCTTCAGAACATTACTGCTCAGTATTACGAGTACTCCACATGCAGCAACGAAAAGTCAAGAGCAGTGGGTTTCGACGCTTGAAGTCGAAAACCCGTGGGTACGACGAAAGAAGAGGTGTCGGAAAACTTTCGTCGCCCCCGCGTCGACTCGATGGCCGCCCAGTCTGACATCGTGGGCAGTTGCCAGCAATGACATGTTCATTGATGGCCTCATAGTGTCGATCAAATTTGGCTCTCGTGCAGCCAGCTGTCAAAGGAGTAAGGGCATGGCTTTCGTTCATGGCACGCAGCGTGGTAGGCCCCCCAATGACACGCGACGAGGGGTATGCCTTGTACAACAAAGCTAAGCACCTACCCACACCCCCCCCTCCGCACCGACCGAGTGCGGAGGGTTAGGATAGATAGGCGAACAACCGGGTTCATGTAGTTGCAGGTGTCTGTTGTACAAGGAGAGGAAACTTTACGTGGCGGATCCTTGGGAAAGTAGAAAGAAGATACATAGCGATGTTTGAGGTATGGAGTACCAGCTAGGAGAGCAGACGGTAGCTGTACTGGGACATAGAACGTGGGTTGAAGAGGCGGAAAATGACATCGATAGGATAGATAGGCTAGGGAAAACATTTTCAGACACCATTTTTTGGTAAAGTAGGCGGGAACGATTGGCCATCGGTCTTTGGAACAATGCTCCGTCCTCCGAGGACGCGTGGTCAATGGTCTAACCACTAACACGCAAAAATAAGAGTGCGCTTCCCGCCTCCCCCTCGGCACCGGCATTATTTGAAACGGAGATCCCCCTCCTCGCCGGTGATATGAAACTGCCGGTGGGTGGGGTGTCCGTGAGTCACCCTTCATCACCTTCATGAGTTCTTATCTTGCAGCTGCCACTTTTTGGCGGTCTGTTCGTATCCGAAAGCGCTTTGTTCCACCACAATTACGGGTTATTGTTCTTGATACATATCACGTCGGAAACGTGTTCTTATGACCAAGTTTTGAATTTTGATTTTCTCGAGAGCCTTGGTAGCTTTCACCTACAACAGCATATTGGTGAAATTGAGAGCGAAGCATCTGATTGAGAGCGAGATTGCGCGATGCGCTGCAGCTGGACTACTGCTGAGAGGTGGAGCTTGCTGTTTAGCTTGAATTGAAGGGCCAGCCCGTAGCTACAAGCAGATACCCTGGTCATCCTGTGGGAGTCTCTCGATGTGGAGTTACAGCGGCGAGCAGAAGCTACAGCAGAGCCCACCGCCCGATGCCAAACCGCCCTGCAACAGTTTGAGGCAGGAATAGCCAATCTGGGGAAATCTAGCAACTTGTCTAGCTCCTGGCTGCAGCATCCGATGACGATGACACGCATATGCTCGTGACGCTGCTGATGAGACCTTCAATTTGCGCCGCTTCTTGGAAGAGCCCGCCCCCTACTTCCCAAGAAATGGCAAGAGGCGTCTGGACCCGAATTTCAAATATTTTGGCTCTCGCTCTCAATTTCACGCTTCGCTCTCAATTTCACCAATATGTTGTTTTACCCGTTTCCCCCCACCCCCGTCCACATCCCACTTTCGTGCTCATACATACCCTCCATACATACGGTGCTTCAGGGATTTTTAGGTGTACCTCTTCGGGCTCTTGGATACCTTTTTCTCGTTATATGTGTGCGTGTTCTTTAGATCCTCAGATGGCTCCAGCACTTTCGTGACCACGGGCTGAGAGTCTTTGCTAGATTTTCGCATTTAGCAACTAACATACGGTTTAATGTGAAGACAACAACAGCAACAACAACAACAACAACAATACCCTCCGCATACTACTTTCTGAACCCCCTTCTTACCTCTTTTTTGTTGGTGTTTTTCCAACTGCCAGTGAAACAGCAGAGGACACAGGTCAGTTCTCGTCACCTAGCGCACCAATCGTCATGGCAGCACTTCGAGCGTGTGCTCCATTGAGATATCCAGGGGCGAAATCGTTGTGTTAGGCATGGATGGGTGCTGTGTCTGGGAAGACCTTCGTGGCGGCGTGGAATCCAAATTGTGTTTTTTTGCCCGGGCAATCGGGCCACATCCCCAGGCGAATAGGCCAAGCCGGATTGCATATCACCACGATGCTCTCGCCACATACAGCACCCATGCCCAACACAACTATCACTCCCAGAGACACGACGACAATGGATCACACGCTCAGGGTGGTGCGATGGCGATTGGCGTCCTAGATTTCGAGAACCAATCAATGTGGTGCTGAGCTCACATTGCTGGCAGTTGAACGCGCGGCATACATATCCTCATCACACCACAAGCCTCCAAAGGCATCGAGCCCACAGATGCTGTCGCCTGCTATGCATGTGTGTCGCCTGTTATGCGTATGCTG